CGCCGGCCTGCTCCACCGTCGGTTTTTACTCGGCCCGTGGTGTTCTTCAAATAGTTCGCTGAATTTTTTCGATACATCAATGGATGCTATTTTCTTAACATTACGGTGCGAGCACGCGACTGTAACACAGAAAACGCGGTTTAAACTGTCGTCGGAGATCACGGCCGCCGCCATGTTTCAATGTTGTTGACAGACGACAGGGCAAACGACGCACGCGCTCAACGTGAATATCGCGAGAGTTTGCACCGATGTAAACCCTCGACACAAAAATGTAGAGGGTTGTTTGAAAAAAAATGCCGACCGTAAAGTTTTTTTTCGGCGTAGAAATTCTCGGTCGGTCGGGTTACCGGAAACACACTACTTTTTTTTTCTACGCCTAACCAAAACAGCAATCCCGTAACCACTTTTGAGATTGAAATCAAGTGTGGACTCTTACTGGCTACCGATTGGGTGTTGTAATCGAGTTTCCTGTGCAGTAATAAGATCTTACACGGCGTCTATTTAGCGTTTTATGATATTCCTACCTCAACAAAACCTAGCTTTGTAAAAGTACAATTTGCTACATGTCGATTTGGTGTGTGATCAATGCTGTGGTTGGTTGCTTATAATATTTATGACACTTACAAAAAAAAAAGAAGTTTGGATCCCTCGTGGTCCTTTTTTTGCAGTCGAAGAAATCAACACCCCCTTGGCCACTCTGAGGACATTTTTGCTTTAGCCGAACAGAATGTTAGCTTCTCACCTCATAGAAGTTCCATAAAAGCAACTCAACATGGGGCTGTTGAAGTGAAATTCTTCTTCACCTTGACTTTCATTTAATCATTCTTCCTCTATAAACAGAGCACGTGCCAAAAATAATACGTTCACAGACTTCATATTTGAAGTGTAAATAAAGACCACGGTCTCAGATATGCTGGTGCAACTTCACTTTTAGTCACTTCCTCCCGATCGCGTCCGACTTAAATGAGTCATTCCGCTCGCCTCCCACCCTCTGTGTCAGCACACGTCTCGTTGATGATATTGGACGCCGCGGTTGAGACACCCGACGTTCCGACCGGTGGCGTCCATTCACAAAAACCGCCCATCTGAGCAAATCAAGCGCCCGCACGGTTAATTTGCTCTTTCGTTGTGCGTGCGTGTGTTTGTCTCTGTGCACTTGTGCGTGCGTCTGTGTGGAGGATTAGCGTAGACATTCCTCAGGCTCACACGCTGTCGCATGGACTCAGACTCATCCGGCGCACAAAAGCCCCGGAATCTGTCGTCCCCTCTGCTCTCCATCACTCCCTTTTTCTCTCTACAAGCCCCCCCACCACCCCACCTCCCGTGTCTCTCGCCGTCTCGTCTGTTTCCTTTTGACGCTTTTGTTCTCTCACACGCCACTCGCCCCGCTCCCAACAACCCGCCCGTCCTTACATTTCTTCGCCGCACTCCCCGACGTACAGCTTGTTGTCCCGAGGGCTGCCGTGTTGATTCTAGAGAGACATGCGAGCCTCGTCTGTGCTCCATGTATGGATGGGGAGTGGGGGGTGCGAGGGGAGTCGTAGCAGAGCGGTGAGGGAGCGATGATTGTTGTATAAATTTCCCCACCAGTTAAATAAACTGTGGAAATTTGTTGGAAGATACTGGAGATAGACGGGCGGACAGAAGAAGACAGATAGGATAACAGATGCGGCTACATAAGTGCACTGTGACATTTTTTGGGTGGGGGGGGACGCCCCTGGGCTCTTATTCAACAGCATGTCTTTTTTTTTTGTTTCTCTGAAAGATGTAACTGTGGTCGAGAAAAATGATACACAGAAGAATACTTTTGAGAAATGGAATATGGCAGCAAGTGTTTAAAAGTTAGATAAGTAATGCTATTTTTTTTCTACTCTTCCCTATGTTCTGTAACAAGACACAGTTTTCAAAAATTTCCATTCACAGATTTACAAGACAAATGTATAACTTTCCTATATATGTAACACTGTATTTGTAATATAGTCACGGTTAAATACGACAGTGAAACTCCTCCACAACGAAATCATGTTTGCAGCAAGAAATTTTTTCACAACAGGGGGTTTTTCACTGTAGCAAATTTTATCTCAGATGTAAACACACACACACACACACACACACACAAAACGTATGTGTACTCTTTATTTTTATTCCAATACTGTACATAGTGCATAAATATGAGCATACACTGATTTGATTCTGTTTAACATTAACATACAATTGTTTTAATCATATTATAATGGATTAGACTTTTGCGGAAGGCTTGTTTTCGTTGTAGTGAAGATTTCGTATAACGGAACAGGGGGATTTTTTTGTCGTAGGGGGAGCAGAAAAGTGGGAATGGCTTTCATGTTTGAAAATGTTTTCACATTAAGGGGTATTATCGCCCATGTAGGTTTCGTTGTAGAGGAGTTTCACTGTATTGTTGAAAGTCTCTCTCTCTCTCTCTCTCTCTCTGTCTCTCTCTCTCTCTCTCTCTCTCTCTCTCTCTCTCTCTCTCTCTCTCTCTCTCTCTCTCTCTCTCTCTCGGCAGATACTTAAAACCAAAGATTCGGATTCGGACTCAGGTGATAAAAAAGCGTGATAGGAACATCTCTAATTATTAAAATTGGCCATGCTTTTAGTTGGACATAAAGCAAACTGAATAAAGTAGTGGCTGGTAGAGAAGCATTTGATCAATAAATGCTGAAACGGGGAAGATTATTTGAAAGTCATCGGAGTGATGACAGCCTCAGGGCTGTAAAATTCGATGAAGGTGCAGTGATTCATACGGAGGCAGACCAAGATGGATGCAAAGAAAGCCCCAAAAATGTGTTTTAGTGAGAACACACTGGCGCGACTCAAAATGTCAGCAGCGCTGCCGAGCCGCCGTGCCCACACGCCCAATCGAGCGCCAACATGGCCACTGGCGTAAACACGCACACGGATGGATGAGTCGGTCAGCCGGGCGTGCGGGCTCGTGGCCCCCCCGGGGTGTAAGGTGGCAGCTGACAATAACACGTGCAGGCGTGCGAGTCAGACAGTCGTGAGAGGTTAAAGCGTGTAATTCATATGTTTGGTGTCGTGCGTCCGAGCGCACACGACGGGTGCGGGAGGGAAAGGAGGGAAAGTCGCCAGGCGACGATGACGAGCCCAAGTCATCCGCTGGCTGACATCTTTCATCACCATCATCGTCGCGGTCATCATCACGGAAGCCCAACGCTGACCAAACAATGACAAGATGGAACCTCTCCAACTGGAGACTTTGTTTGCTGTCTCGGTTGTACTCGCCGCAGATATGCCATCGCTGTTCCATGACAACCTCTTCAGTGAATTTCAGTATTATTTAGAAAAGGGTCATTTCTCTGATATCTAAATACGGATCACTGAGAGGATGCAAAAACGATTGGACCGTATTTTCCGCTCTATAAGGCGCCCCTAAAAGAATTTTCTCAAAAGCCGACATTGCGCCTTATCATCCGATGCGCCTTATACATGGATGAATATTCTGATTTTATGGACGTAGTATTTTAAATGTTCTGTACAGCGCTTTGTTAAAGCTGCAGCGGTTGTGACGGCTCTATATAAATAAAGCTGTATTGTATTGCGTTCCCTTTAGCGTAGCTCCATCTCCTGGATGCATAGCGCAACCGCAGCCACTAATGTAGCTTCTCTTCTATGCTAATCTTCTATTCTAATGCTGTGCGCCCTAAATATGAAAACAGTTATAAAATAGGCCATTCATTGAAAGTGCGCCTTATATTCCGAAGCACCTTATACTGCGGAAAATACGGTAATTTATTTCATTTATTTATTTTTGCATCTGTCCATATTGGCAAAAGTCCACACATTCAAAACGGTCAAATGACAAGCAGGAAATAGGACAGTCTTCTTCTGTTGCTTGATGTTGCATTCTTACGCCGTGTACTGTTCATACTCTAACTTGGAAATATCATGTGACAGGACGTCATGAACAAGGGATCGCCTGCCTTTATATTTTTGGGAAGGTACTGAAACAAATAGACCGAAGTTCGGCTCCTGGTTAGCGGATGTCGTGGCTTGTGATTTGCTTTTGCCAGTATATCAAAATCATTTGCAATGAGATAAAAAAAAAGAGGGGGCAGGGAGGTGCAAACATGACTTCCAAAAGAAAATAATAACAAATGCCATCACCGTTTTTATCCTATGAAAAGTATACATTTGTTTTTCAAAAAGACAAGCTAAAAGCAGCCTCATATTTTTTGTTCTCTTACTGTGATCCAAACTGACATTAAAATCAATGACCGGACCCACCGGTGATTTTTGGTAACCTGAATATAATATAAACGATTTCTCTGAATATTTACTCTTTCCACCCATTTGGGTGGTCTGATCTCAAATCTGTGGGGTTGTTCGTCGAAGTTTGGGACAGACGGAGCTCAACAACAACTCAATTGTTATTTGCCACAATTCAGCCCACCAAGTCATGTCTGGAGAGCTCCCGCTGTGCTTCGGGCGGACAGCTCATGCCGATGGCACGTCGTACGCACGTACTGAGCTCATTTCCCCCCGTTGACGCACCAACACAGCCGTGTGGCTCCTATTTTCTTTCTGCCATTTATTTCCTGCGTTTACTGGACGAGCCGTGCACCTTCCACGCCGCGTTCCGGTCACTGGGCGGCCTTCGTGGCGACAGGAATGCGCGTGTGACTTCCATTCTCGTCTAGCTGTTTGCTGACATCGTTACATTCCAATGAACGGTCATCACCGTCTGTCTCTTCTAGGCCTCCGCTCCCAAACTGACGACTCACTGCTCAGATATCCAAGAAGTCCGTCGCTGCAACCGGCTGGAGATGCCCGACAACTTAAACACGTTTGTCTTAAAGGTGCGCTGCTTCATTTTTGAGAACCACACCGCCTTCATTGTGTGGGTCCATTGAAAAAGCTTCTCTGTCACCCTCAAAGGTTAACCGAGGCAGTTTGATATTTGAGACAGACAACGACCAGCAGGTCAGCTCCTGGACCACAGAGATCAAAGAATGCATCAGCAACAGGTGGGAAACGCAATGGAACCGACAATATTTTCAGGGACCGGCCGTTAAGGCCGGACGAATGCAACAAAATAATGGGATATGACCTGCATGAAAACTGTGGTATTTTCTAAACATAATTAACACAAATCATGACCCGAGGAACGTCCTATCTGGCCGTAACGCTCTCTGGTCACTATGGTAACGTTTAAACGTGACTTCAAAATAAGATACTGTACACAGCAGATAAAAAGTGCATGAAAAATACGGGCTTGGTGCGTAGGAATCTCCCGTTGAGATAGAACCGTATTTTAGGTCGGACTCCTGATACTGTCTATTAAATGTAGCCTTTTTTTCTTGAAAGTCGTAGTCGTTCTGTTTCCTGGCTGGGCCTTTTCCCCTTCCCAAAAAAAACTTTCCAAGACCTTTGTTTTTAACTCATCTTGCTAGCTCCTGGGTTTCATTTTAGCGGTAACCTATCACGTGACCGAGAAGTGCGCCTTGACTCGCGTCAAGAGTGACATACTGTAGACGGATGTAAGAGAGAATCCGGTAAATTTTCAAAGTAAAACATCTTTCAGATTCCAAAATCAATCAAACGGAAGTAATGTAAGTTATTTATTCTTTCTGTGCGGCCCGGTACCAAAAGACCCACGGACTGGTACTGGTCCGCGGCCCGGTGGTTGAGGACCACTGCTTTCAACTGTCAGTTTTAATGGAAAAAGTCACTTCAACAAGTGGAAAGTCGTTCAAGCGTGTACACACAAGTTGGACTGCAAGAGGAAGTGTGTGTGTGGGGGGGTGGGGGGGGGGCGCTCTGCTTGCTCGGGAGAACCTCTCAGTCTCATTTCTACAGATGTCCACTTGAAGCACACACACGTGCGCACACGAGTTCAGAGTTCACCCTCCACTCCCGTGTAAAGTCAGGTTACACCCTGAGTCGTGAACAGTTCAGAAAAACGAGAGACCTGTTTGTGTCATTAGAACATTTTGGAATAATTCTGAGTCTCTATATATTACTTGTACTATGCAACTGTGCTTACTTCCGTATTTGGTTTTGTTGCTTCAGTGGCCACGAGAAATTGAAAAACAAAGCCACCTTTAACGAGGGCCATGCGATATGGCCTTAACCCTTTGAGGGACGGCGGTTGCTACAGTGGACAGCTCTCATGTTATCATAATTGGTGCATGAAAGGATGAAAAAAAAAAAATTCCTTTTGCCCCCGATGGTGTGCCGACACAGACTCTCTCTCTCTCTCTCTCTCTTTCTCTGTCTCGGTTGCAACAATTTACTATAAAATTAAATTAAAAGTCTGCCTCTGAGCAACATTCATGTGCAGCAAATGACGTTTTGTGTGTGTGTGTGTGTGTGTGTGTGTGTGTGTGTGTTCAGGTTGGGCACTGTGGATCTGGAGCCCCTCCCCTCAGTGGCTGACAGCGCCCTTTCGACCAATCACAGGGCAAGCTCCGAGTCTGGCAGTCAAAGTGATTGGCGGCCCGCTTCGTCCCACCCGGCTCAGCAGACACGTCCCGTCACGATTAGCTGTACGTATTTTTATTTTTATTTTTTGGTCCTTTCATTGACGTCACGTTATCCGCAAATTCACTCGACGGCAGTTGGGGAAGAAATCCATCAAGCGATTTGGTGATGAATCGATCGGAGGGTTGCGAAATTCCGTGAATTTTCAACGTTGGAAACCTCCTCCGCCACATCCTCAGATGATTTCTCGAATTTCAACTTGAAGAGAGAGAGGCTCAATTAATTTAAGATTCTCAATGGGGGACTTTGTTGGTATTTTAGGATGAAGGCCAGGTTGGAATTTTTCAGTGGGTTGCTTCCAAGGGTTGAGTCATGTTTTATTCCATTATTTATTGATTTATTTTTCTTTTCGCTGAAAGAATTGATTTTTCAATAAAACATTTTATTGTAGCATTTTTATTGTAGCCGGTTTAACTTCCTTTGGAAAAGGTCGTGGAATGTTTTCCTCGTCTTTGCTGAATTGATACAAACTCATCCACTGCCAGCAAACAGCTCCCCGTCTTGCCATCCATTTTGACTGTTCTTGAACTGAACAAAAGACACTTTTCTTTAACCAGCAAAAAAAAAAAAAAAGTTTATTTGTCGCCTTTGGCTTTTCTGAAGCAATCAGCAGTAGAAAATGAATTGGTTTCACCCAAAAGCTGAGAAAACAGGGATTTTTTTGAGAAGAAACGTCTCAAGCAGAACGGTGACTTTGACGCCGATATTTTTTTGCTTTCGCGACACCTCAAACCGTAGAACAACAATTTCAATGCTGAGAAATGGCTTTTGATGACATTATTTATTCATACATCTAGAACTAATCAAGGCGCCGTGAGCTCCGTGAACTGACCTCTTTTCTTACGATCGCGATCGAGACATTCTCTGTTTGTACCGTACATATAGATACCTTATTTCAAATGTGGGCTGCTTAAATTTCTCTGCCTCATTGTTGACGTGACAAGCTGAGATTCACCCGCCAGTCTGTCTCTTCTACTCAAAAGCTGTGCTGATCACAAATCCAAATTGATGCAAAGCTGCCGTCCGTCTCCAGGCATCTGTTCATCATGAATGTGGTTTTGAAATCGAAATCCCGCAGAGTACAACATGAATCCCTTTCGTGTTTAGTTGTTTTATTTTTTTAATCACTAAACGACACCAAATTAGCAAAATTGATTGCTTAAAGAACAATAAACTGGAAAAAATGACCACTTCCGTGTTCCTGCTCCCCAGACCCAGTCGCCCTGGCTCTGCCAGAGCCGCTCATCCACAAGACCGATCACTTCCTGTTCTCCTACCCGTGGTTCCACGGGCACATCTCGCGCGTCAAGGCGGCCCACCTGGTTCAGAGCTCGGGGGCCGAGGGCCATGGCGTCTTTCTGGTGCGTCAGAGCGAGACGCGGCGAGGAGACTACGTCCTCACTTTTAACTACCAAGGAAAAGCCAAGGTGCGCAAGAAGGGAAGCCTCCCAGAAGGGGGGGGGGGGGTCACTAGTACGGTTCTGATTTCCCTATTTGTGTGTGTGTGTGTGTGTGTGTGTGTGTGTGTGTGTGTGTGTGTGTGTGTGTGTGTGTGTGCGCGCGCGCGCGCAGCACCTGCGCCTCTCGCTGACCGAGTGGGGGCAGTGCAGGGTGCAGCACCTGCGCTTCCCCTCCGTCGTGGAAATGCTCAGCCACTTCCGCCTCTTCCCCATCCCGCTGGAGTGCGGATCCGCCGGCGCTGTCACGCTCTCGAGCTTTGTCGTGGCGGGCTCCAGCCCACCGTCACAGGGTGAGCACACACACACACTCACACACACACACACACACACACACACACACACACACACACACACACACTCCTCCCTGTGTGGAGTTTGCATGTTCTCCCCGGGCCTGGGTGGGTTTTCTCCGGGTAATCCGGTTTCCTCCCACATTCCAAAAACATGCGTGGCAGGCTGATTGAACACTCCAAATTGTCCCTAGGTGTGAGTGTGGGCGCGGATGGTTGTTTGTCTCTGTGTGCCCTGTGATTGGCTGGCAACCGGTACAGGGTGTCCCCCGCCGACTGCCCGAAGACGGCTAGGATAGGCTCCAGCACCCCACGCGACCCTTGTGAGGATAAGCGGATCGGAAAATTAATGGATGGGAGGAGACTTTTTTTTAAATATTATTCTGTGTTTGGTCACATGAGCATCTTGAATTCAATTTCGGTCAACAACGGTACAGAACAAAATGGCCGTGCCGGAGACTTTGCCAGCTGTCTTGAGACAGTCGGCGAGGGTTGTCAGCCAATCGCGGGGCATAAATTATATTCTTATATTGGGTTGAAATGTGAAGTGCCAGGCGAATAACCATAACCTTTTTTTTTTAGAAGTGTTATTTTTGCCATGTTAGTTACTGTGTCTGTTTTTTTCCCCCTGTGGCAGGTCAGCTCTCCGGCACCCACTTGGCGCCGTTCTCGCTGCACCGCTGGAACTCGGAGCCCAACTTGGCTCACTGCGGAGCACCTCGAAGCTGCAGCCAACCGCTCTCCTCTTCTTCCTCCTCCTCCTCCTCTTCCTCGTCTTCCTGCCCCCCGTGTGGAGCAGCGCGTTAATCGCGGCCTGCGCCGGCAACGGCGGGTTGGATCCTCTGCGGCCGCCGCCGCTCCGCCTCGGCCACCCGCCCGTCTTCCCCCAGCGGGACTCGGACTATGAGTTAGAACCCGAGCGCGGACGCAAGCGGGCCATCGACAACCAGTACATGTTGCTCTGACCTCCCTCCGCCCGGCTCCACGAGATGCGCATGGGTTCGAGACCAAGCCCACCCTCCTCCCCGTGGCTTCCGCACGAGTGTCCGCAGTGAATGTATTTTGATGTATGGGACGGGCAGGGGAGCGCGCGGCTCATCTTCAAGCCCAGCGTGCAAAAACTATTTTTATACGTTTTTTTTTTTAAACTCAAGGTTGGCTTGAACCAATCCTCGCTTCGCACCACTCACGGGTGAATTGAGTTTTTTTAAATTTTTTATTTATCTTGGCCACCTCCTTTCATTACTTTGCTGATGCAAAATCACTTTTTAAGCCCCCCCAAAAAAATACTTTATTCTTGGCACATTTCCCGTGTGGGGCCAACGCTCACTTTCTTTTATAAACACAACGAAGCACTCTTCTTTCTCCTCTTTGTCACGCTTTGAGTCTTCTGATGCTCTGTCACAAGATTTCTCATATTATTTCAATATGAAAGCAACGCAGTGGGGGCGGGGGGTAGTGGGTCACACGTCCGCTTCATAGTGGAGAGATTCTGGATTCGAATACTCCAGCTTCATCTCACAACCCAAAAACATGCATGTTAGTTTCATGAAAGACTCAAAATTGTCCACAGTGACCAGCAGCCTTTTACGCCGCCTCCATTATGGCCGCAGTCGCCGTTTTTCTGCAACGACGACGCAGCCCGAGCCCCTTTCACACCGAGTCCTGCGTACACTTACTCATAGGCGTTCTTCTGCAAGTTGTGGCTCCAGCCTTTTTAACACAAAGATCCTGCAAAATTGTGAAGCGCCGTCATTTTGTGAGTCTTTTCCGCAGAAGCCTTCTCATGAGATGGCTTCTGCGTGTGTGCGCTTTCAAACAACACAGCAACCTTCGATGAGATGATGTCAGTGCGAGTATTTTGTGTCATGTTGGGAAAAAAAAAAAATCTTTTCACACAGTGACAATTGCTTTGAACACAAAGTTGTGGGAGAAATGAGTATCATTTGATATTGCGTAAAAACCCTGTCATCCATTTTACACAGAACCCAGCAAAGGCGTGTGAAACTTCACATCTGCGTCAACTTTCACACGGGGGCTCGGTATCCCGCACTCGGATAGTTCAATGATGTCAGCACCAGTGTGTGGTGTGAAATTTTAGAAATGAGTGTCACATGCCCCAAATTTGTAGAATAGTCGATATGAAAAGTCTGCACACCCCACTTTAGACTTTGTGCTATACAAATAACTTTTTTTCTACGATTAGTCTGATGTGTAACTGGTTCAACTCGATCCAATTAAAAAATGTATTTGTATATATTCTTGAGGCAAGGTAAAAAGGACTACGATCATGTGGTTGCACAAGTGTGCACACCCTCTTGTAAATGGGATGTGGCCGTGTTCACAATTAACCAAATCACATTCAAACTTGAAAGAAAAGAGTCAGCATCCATCTGCCAACATTTAAAGTGGTGAATTTGAAATGAAGTTCATATGTTTTAGTTGGCTTTCCTTGATGTCCTCTTTTAATTGGGTTGTACTAGTTACAGATCACGTGAATTGTGGAAAAATATCTGCCTGGCCTTTGAGTAGGGGTGTGTGGACTTTTCATACCCGATGTAGGTCGTTACAGCTCAAATGTGAAAAATGGCAGCTTTTACAGCTAGCGTAACAGGGGTGAGCTAGCCATCCTGATACGCTCAAACGCTCGCCTGGAAATCTCAACTCATCGCTTTAGTGGGTGCCGCTTGCCAGGCTTCGCAAACTCTTGCGCCTTCTTCAGAGTGTCAAATGGTGTGCGACTCGTCCTTTACCAGCTGAGTCACGCCTTCATTGAACATTAGCTGATAGACAACAACATCACGTGACACTCTGAAGAAGGCAGAAGACTTAGGCCGAAACATGTCAGGTAAATACCAACCTAAAAAAAAGAAAGTGTGTGATAAAAGAACCGATAAGTTCAACATCGTTTAATTGTTCTACCTGTGATGATGCGTCACTGGCACAGATAGACGACAATGAATGAAAGCTCTTGGTACTCACTAAGGTCGCTGTTAAGAAAAAAATTCTATGTGCCTTATGGCGCGTTTGCGAACTGTCACGCGCGTACACGTTTTCATTTTCATTGGGTGATTTATGAAAGTGAGTTTTTTTTTTTTTAAACGTCCAACTCTACTTTTTTTTTTTAAACACACAGGTAGCATTAACTGTTTGGTTTGCGACGTCACCATGACTACAAATCACCAAATCAATGCCGACCACGCTTTATTTTGGTAAGCAATGGGATGTCTTAACACTAACGCACGTCCGATTGTTTTGTGGGCTTTTTTCGTTTGTTTTTCTTTTGGCACTTAAACGAAATGGACAAGTGTGATGTTGTTCTTGCAACTGTAACATGTCGACCCGTCGCGACTCCTCTCTTTGCTTCAGAAAAAAATTTAAAAAAAGATAGTGTGTCGTGCAATATTGATTCCACATAGCCACAATGTTCTCATGTTTATATATTTTTTTTAAAACAGTATTGGGGAACCTTTTTATATTTTATAGTCCTCTGAGGGCCAAACTAAATTAAAATGAAGAAAATGTGATTTAACAAGTGTTTATTGTTCAATACAATGAGCGTTGGGTTAAGTGTTTTCCTCAAATATATTTAACAGTTCCTCTGGGGATTATTTTTTAGGATTGCTCCATGTTGGATTCCCCAGCCCTGCTTCAAGGCTTCCCATCTAAGTTGCTTCAGCCACACTTTTTTCCCCCCCTCCCAATGACCATGAAGATGGTTTCATGATTGATTTGAAAATTTCCCGTTAATGACATGAATGTGTTCTCAATACTGTGTGTTTACCTCAGCACTGTAAAGCTCCCCCTACTCCCTCCCGAAGACCACCACCACAGAGCTTTCAAATGGAAGATGTCTTTGTGATCGCAATCCCTTTTTCATTCAGTTGTAAGCCTTCTAAATTATATATCAACTGTACATTGGACTGATCTGTTGTCTTTTTTTTTTCTAAAATAAACCTAAGCAGATTAAAGCTTCCTTCCACCCGCTGCAGACTTAAAAGTAGTCGCAATTACCATTAGATGAATGTACTTCCTCTCAGTCTGATCTTTATGCTAGTTGACAAGGACAAGTTTTTGATTCAACAAAAACAATTACCAACTATTTATTGACATAAAAACATGTCGCAAGAATGACATTTACAGTTTAATTTTATGGATTTTTTTAAATTGAAAAAAACAGAGTTGCAATACTACAGCAACTGTAATTTTAAGATTCCTGAAGAATTTTGTCAATATTACATGAGAAAAATGCACTTTCAAGAAAAACATAGGAAAAGTGATGTGTGGGGTTAGGGGGGTATTTGTTGTATTTTGGGGACAAGTTTGCTATTAATACAAATGTGTAGTTTTAGGGTTTTAAAAAAAAAAAGCAAGAAGCACACACACACAACTCTCGGCTCAGTTTTTAAAACTTTTTTTATTTTTTAATTTTTTTGGCTCATTTTTTAAATTATTTATATTATCTACAAAGTAAAAGCTTTAACTTAAAAGTTACATTAGGGTCAGGTGAGAGGTGGGTTGCGATAACCATCTTATTTTTTTTGTCATAAATAAACACGTTTGTTGTATTTTCCCTGTCGCTGGCTGTTTTTTTAGTTTGGTTAGACACTTGTTGTCTTGTAGCAGCATCAGCGATACAACAGTAACATTAATACTGTCCAAAAATGGGTTGCTTTTTTTTTTCCCCCCACCCTGACAAGGTGCAGACAAGAGTTCCAGTTTAATTCTCCGTTCATAGATTAGTTTTCTCTTAAAACAAATCACTGCATCGTCAACCTGTTAACATTCTCTTATTGCCTTTTCTGGGGAACAAGGAAAAGAGGGAGGGAAGTGGATGGGGAACATGTCGGGTGAGGAGGAGGAGGGGTGAAAAAAGGAGGAGGGCTCCTCATCCTCTTCATGAACGAAGTTTCTGCTCGCTGGCGCCATCTATTTGCCACCTACAGCTGTTGCTGGTGATGAGGCTGCACTGCAAAAGCCACGCGACAACGTGAACGTGGGCCAACAGAAGACAAGTGTTTTGTTTTCGGTGTTTACCTTGCGGATGCGCCAGGTAGGAGAAGGGTGTGGTGGAAGAGACAGGGATGTGGTTGAGGGCTGTCTGCGCCATGGGAGGCTGAGGGCCGCCCGGGGGGCCCTGCGTAGCCATCAGCATCATCGGGGGGTGGGTGGGCGGCGCGTGGTGAGATGGCACCATGCCCGACTGCATGTGCGCCTGCGACAAAGATACTTTGGTCAGCTTCGGCCTCTCTGGCCCTGAGATGAATTCGGCGAACTTGACAACATCCTGCCATCATTTGGTCACGTTGATGGCCCCAAGTGAACACTACAAGTTATGTGTTCTGTACTTCCATTTTCCTTTTTTAATGGGGATGTCTTTTTCCTAAGAACGTGAGTGCTGGGAAGAAGCAATGGATGATTTGTCTGTTGGATTCAATCTTAAAATGAGAGGGAAAAAAAGGTCTGGAAAATGCATGTAGTCGACTCGCGCAGTACTTTTATATATAAGGGCCATAATCGGCCATTTGAATTGGCTCGCTAATTAATCGGTAAGACCTTAATTAAAAGCATACACTTGTGTTAGTACGACTTATTTCTTTTTTTAAACCAGCAAACCCTAAAAAGCTGAGCGCATGTTGGTTGCAGCCTTGAGCACTATATACTCTCCGGTGTTCATTTTTACTTCCCATATCAAAAGGTTTTTTTTGGTTTGTTTTAATTGAGTTGTACAGGTTATCGGTCACAATGATGGAAAATTTTATTTATATTACTGTCCTTTTTTTATACAAACAAAACCTGGAATTTGGACTGGGGTGTGCAGACTGAT